AGGATATGTTCACTGCACATGTGCAATGCACAAAGCATCATGCACTTTATAAGAAAGTCGTGAAGTCCCCACTATGAGGGCTACTTCTGCGAGCATAAACATAAACCTAGACATTCACCAAAAGTACCGCAGATGTTTAAAGGTTTTCAAAAGAAAATTAGGTATTGAATGGATTCAGTGCATAGCAAATGGTGAAATGCATCTTCAAAACTATCCAGAAAAAGGAAGCTGAAATTTCTGGAACATATTATCAATGAAGATAGAATATGTACTATTGCATAACAGCCACTTAGAAGCTGTAAAAGCGGGTAAAAAGAATAACCTGAAAGAACCTTTTCATCCAACCAAGTATAGAAACATAAAGAACTTAGTAAAATACAATCATATTATTATATTATGGTCATATTATTATATTAAGTTTATAAATAGCTTAACATGAAAAGCAGCATGAGATACATAGGACAGCAGACTCTTCTTTCATGCCAGACAATGCGGAAAGGTACATGGGGCCTAGGCAACTGGAGGACCAGGGACAATTCCTGGATTTGGTGAATGCTGCTATGTAAGTTCAAGCAACCCGCATAAGTCTGTAACAGACTGTAGTGCAATCAACGTAGTGTGGTGTAGAATCACCTTTCAGGATGTGGGCCTTAGTTACTACGTTCATTACGTATAACTAGGGGATTAGGGAATACCTTTACGTGAGATGAGCTCCATACAATGAAATGAAACCACGCTGTGATTTTCCTGCAGTGTTTCTTTTGACGTGTTATGTGCCAGACAGGGCTTAGGCTGCTTTTATGTACTCCTCTTGCCACCTTTGAAAACTTTTAGGGCAAAAGCTGTTTCTTTCTCTGATGGCAAAGCACACAGCACAGTGACTCTGGCTTGCAAGTACTTAATAAGTGATAACAGGTCTAGCTGAACCTGCTTTGGCAAGGAGTTTAAATTAGATGACCTCTGAAGGTGCCTTCCAACCTACACGGTTCTATGATATTTAATGAAGACACAGTAATTCAGTCACTGTGGAAATAAGAACAGAATCACAGCTAAGAAAATTAGAGCAGATAGTTCAAAATTTATGAAATGACCTTAAATATAGCAAAGTGTATTGAGATACAGAAGGTTTGGTTATTATTATGCATGTAAATGATATCCACAGCCCTCCTGTTATGCACAGGACCAATCATTTCATTATAAAAGGCAATCAGATTACAATTGTGGCATAAGAACGCATATCACAGTATTTAAAAGAGCTCACCTCATACTGGCTGCTTTTATATACAGTAATAGAATATCAAATCAAACCTTGGCCTTTATCTTTAAATCTCTGTTACTGTCTGGTTCCCATTACACATAGTTGCAATATTTAGATGCATATCTTCAATACTCAAGTTTTTCCTTTCCTGAAAATCACAATATCACAGAGCATGATAAACTCACCAGAATTTCCATCAGAGTGTATACGCAATGATAGAAGCGGAGCTTTGATGGATGGTCAACATCAGGAGGAATCTCTGCCTTGAAGGAATTATAATCCATAGCAATTAACACCAGTAATACAAAAGCAACTAGAATTCCTGCTATTAAAGCCAGAGCATAAAAGGATTCCATTTTTCTTTGGTGGGAATAATTTATTAGAGAACTGTTAGATGTGATTCTGTCAATATTTATATCCTCTAGACTGACTCCGCAGAGAAGTAATTTGCATACCAAAATTCCTCCACCCTCCTCCTCCAGATAAAGCTGCCAGATGCTAGAAGCATGAAAACATCCGGCTATTACAACTTTATTTAGCATGGTCAAAGTTAATAGGTAGAAGACTCACATCCAGGAAATGTCATTATTTTGTATATTCAAACATTGCAAATGAACTTTATTTTTTATCTGGTTTAATTGTATTCTGCTTTATGGGCCTGAAAAGCCATGTGTGATTTTTTGCAAGTGTAATGAAGATCACACTTAATGAAGATTTTGTTAGTGTAAGGAAAGATACTACCTTTACTTAAGAACCCATGTAAGACTGGCAATGCTGAACTCCAGTCTCCATGTTCAGGAATTGTAATAGGTCTGAAGAATGATTCTAAGGCTTTTTGCTTGGTGCTGGTCTTTTTATTCCCTGCTATATTGCGGAGGCAAGCAGCTGGCCAGAACAGTTAGAACTGACATTCTGAAGTACATCTAAAGGAATTTTGCTTTTAGAGATTCATATGGAGCTATCAGTTATTTGGAAGCTCCCTACCTGAGTGTGCAGCAACGGTCCCTGGGCTCACCAATGGTCCAGTGATATCAGAGGGAAACTTCCCCTTGACTTGGAGAACCTTGGCCCTAACCCTCTATTCTGATTCATTCTAAAGAAAGGAGTCTTTACAACTTCATTGTTCACTATTTTTTGCCAAGACATTATCCTTTGTTGTAATTTAGGCTGTGATTAGACCATATGGCCAGCCCAATGCTTGTACCAACAGAGGTGGTGATAGTGAAGGAATGAGTGACCAGGTGCAACTCCATGTATTTCTGTCCACCATGTGACTGGACAAAACTTGTTTGGGTAAAAGTAAAAAGCAAACAAACATTACCTCAGCTTGATATAATCAGTACAACCTATGCTTATCCCCTGAACACTGAAATATTTCTTTATCCCCACTAATCTCCCACATATTTAATTTTAAAACCTTTATAAAAGTTTGTAATCATGGTCATAGAAGAGAAATGCTCCTTTATATAAGCCATAAGATTCTGCATTTGGCTAACAAACCTGTAGTGGTATTCCCTCAGAAAGTGGGATCTTGACTAAAAAAAGGTAAGTCCTTTCCAGCTTTTCTTATATCCTTAAAAGAAGCAGATGAAATATATCTGCATAGAAAAATCCCATTTATGCAAAGTATGCTTTACAGGAAAAAGCAAGAAATTTGAATGTGAATTAGTCAATAGGGTAAACAAATATTTAGCTGTGTGGAATGAGAGTAAAACAATATGTGTCATAAGAGATAAAGTACCAGATGATAAGAGTGACCAGACTGGATTCTTAGAGAATAGGTCTAATCGTTCACTTCAGTGGAAGTCAGCAAGAACAACTGATTGAATTATGTAGTTTAAAATTTAAATTGATAAATAGGTGTTAAGGGTAAGAAAACCATGAAATCCATGTAAGTTATAACATGGAACTCTCGGCTTAACTCAGCAGGCCTAGACCTTGTGATCATAGTAGGCATCTTTCCAATACTGACTCAAATTATTTGACTAAGCTGGGGAATAATTGATCTCTTCCATCACTGTGAGGTGAGGACACTTAACTGAGCCCCTCCCAACTTCTTACTCCATCCAGACCTGTGGGGATACACAAACTTGAATGATTTTTTTTTTTTAAACCAACATAAATTACAGCAAAAATTAAGGCTACTTTTATATTCTGAGGAGGAATATCTAGGTTGGGGTTTAATGAGTTTTACTGATCCATCCTAAAATTAAAAGGTTTTAAGTTCTGAACGTCCCCATATAAACATACTTTTAAATCTGACAAGTGAAAGTTCAAAGACCTTTCTTCTTTATTAATTTTTAATTCTCTTTGTGGTGGACTTAAAACACCCCACTGATATTATTATCTGAGGAGATCATGGAATATCCAGATTTCCCCTCATAAAAGCTGGATGTCAAAATACCAATTATCTTCTGCCAAATCGCTTAGGAGCTCCCAATATACATGTGTTTTTTCCCATGATACCAAAACTTTCAGACCAGCAACAAAGCAACTAATGAGAGATTGGAGGGGAGGTAGGAGACCTATGAAGGAGGTTCTTGGACTTTGGGGTTGGTTGGTTCATTGGTTTAGGAGATTTGTTTTTAATCAAATAGTGTTGGACAAAGTTTAATTGGAGGGCAGGGTTGAATGTTCTAAAAAAGCATCTCTGTTAATTATTCTACAGGTCGGCTTCTAGGAAACATCTGGATTTATTCATGCTACTGTTGTAACAGATCGTTCTTCCTCCAGAGAATCAGCTGATCCTCACTGCCCTGTGCCATTGTGCATATCAGGAAAGATAAAATAACTTGTAAAAAGGCAGCAGTCCCCATAAATGAGTTAAAGGATCAGCTGGCCTTTGGAAACCCCGTGTTGTTTACCCCACCTATCATTCTCTCCAACGCCCCCCTCCAGAACTGCTCTTCCCGTAAAAACATTCGCGATACCAATTTGTAGGGGTAATGGCAGTGATTCAGCGAGAATGAGCAAACTGACATTCTGCTAACAGTGAGTAAAGTTCTAGAAATATCCAGATAAATTATTAAAAATCCTAACTTTATCCTTGCTCAGACCATCATCAAAAATGCTGTGGGTCCTATTTGAATGAAGAACCCAGCATCCCTCTGTGCCTCCTCTTAGCTCAACTGAATCTCTCCAGAGATCTTATTTTCCCACCATGAATTTATAACATGATCTTACTCCCCCACATTAATTCATACACCTAAAGCTGATCCATCCTAGCCTTCCAACCAGAGAGGTTTGCCTTTGACAACAGCATTCTCTTCCTAACATTCCTCCTCTTTTTGGCTTCCCTTTCTAGAATTGTCAAGTTTGAAGAAGCTTATGACAGTTAGAGGACTTGAATTATTTCACCTCTGTATGTACTAGTGAACCACTAGCTCTGAAAACAAATTATAGCTACATATAATTAATTCTTTTAAAAAGACATTGTTAGAAAGGATTCAGGGAACATTTTATCTAGAGATTTTTTTCCTAAGCTAGTTTACAAGCTTCCAGTGCAAACTTATTACCGGCATTAGCCTACTGTTCTGTTTTGTCAAAATCCATATCACGTTGGTTTAGTAGGATTTCAGTTCAGACTCTTGAAACAATAAGCTGCTTTAATTTTGAGGGCCTTATGGACTTAATTCTTCTGCCTCCCTAGTTCCTTGTGTGTCTTAGAAGTTTTGTCAGGACTGTCTCTCTTCTACTAAAGAGAACATAAGATGAATCAGTTTAAAAAACGTAGTCACTCCACTCCTGTTTACATATGGTATTTTTCACTGTTCTCTCTTCCAACATGAACAAGCAGGCTAAAAGATTGAGACAGATTTGGCTTCTGAAAATAGGTGAGAAAAAAGCAGGGCAGTTAGTACAAATGACAAAATCTAACATGTACTAAAATGACCAAGCAATTAAAAGAAATACCACATTCTTGATGTTGCATCCCTTTGTCTGAATTCCAGGTAGCGCCTACATGCACTTTGAAAACACTGTACTTCTGCTTATAAAGACAATTATTTTTACACATACTGAATCTAGAAAGGGATGCCATCTAGAATTTAGAATTCCTCAGTAAGACATTTGTTATATCTTTATTCACTATACTGATTTGTTGTGAGACCCTGGGAAAGCAGTAAGACATCCAAATGTAGCTTTTTCCACAAGGCTGGACACAGACTGTTTTCTGTCAAAGCTGGAAGTTACACAGAAACCTGGTCCCTTTGAGCTTAGTCCATGGCAAAACTCCACTTACAAGGCAACAGTATCAGACTCTTAATAGCATATAGAAGGACAGTGTGAAATCATAGAACCACTGGGACAACATTTCAAATGGAAAATGTGAACTCAAGGGAAGAATGAAATCAAGAAGCACAAAAATTTAGCTCTTGATTTATCCAAATCTGACAGCAGCACTTCATGTAACAAAAACCAGATCAGCTTGGCAAAAGGTTTTCCTTTTTTAAAGGAGGTTTAGTTTTAATCGGTGATCGTGATAGATTGTCCATCGTCAGGAATCCTGCACTGATATAAAAAACTGGTATTACTTGACACGCTAGTAACACAGATTTTCCACTGTGTTCTGTGTTCCCAGTTTTTTCACATCTGCTTACCAATGTACTCTATATATTTGGGTGGATTTTTTTAAGTTGAAAAGACAGCATTGTTAGCCCGAATGACTTTCAGACATGCCTTAAGCATGCATTTAACTTCCAGCTCCTTTTCCTTTCAAAAGTTCTTGCAGTTTAGCAACTTCATTTGCACGAACAGACTTCCAAGTTTGCTAGGATCTTGGCTGCAAAGGCTCTGTGAACAAATTTACAGTTCTGCCAATACATACAGGTGCAACATCAAGACCTAAGCATTCAGACACTCTACCTGAGCCTCTTCGTAGATCCATGTAACATTGTTCTGCAAAAAAGGATCTTTGTTATGCAAGTGATGTATATAGAGAGTGTATCAACTTGTTTTGGAGGTAAATGTTGCTTTTTCACTGCTGTTGTTTTCTTCAAGACAGGGCAAGTAAGAAAAAGTAGGTTTCTATGACTCTTATGGAGAGTGTGAGTAAATCATCACTAACTACAATCCAAAAGATGGATTTCAGTTTCTGTAGACCTTTCTAACCTACTCTTAGATTGGCTAGCCTAAATATGAACAACAGGTTTAGTGTTAAGCTGGACTCTTACAGCTAGGCACTATTGTGTTTAAGTATTCAAAAAGCATAAACGCATCTTTTGAGCTATCGTTGCAGGAATGGGTCGTTCAGGGATGATCTAAATGTAAACCTATTAATTCAAAATAGATTTGTAAAACCGTGTTAAAGCCGTCTTCCTTTACACTTCTGTTAAGAAGTACAAACTCAGAAATTTAGACAAGCAGAAGCAAAACTGAACGAATTACCACTGAGATACATTACATTACTACCGTCTTGCTCTTGTTGCAAACTGGAATAAAACACAGTTTAAAGTACCGTGAAAATGGCTTACACCAAGTTGTTGGGGGTTTTTGCAATTTATACTTTGTTGTGGCTGTCTGCATAGGAAACAAATAGTTCAGTACTGTGCAACTATCCAAAATGCGAAATTAATTCTGCAACGAAGTGATAGCATTAGCAACTGATGTAATTTTACAAAATTAACAGGCCTGCTTATTGAATGCTCCAGTGCACTGGTTAAGAACTTCTGAGTAGAAACATGGAAGGGATTCACTTTGGGACAACTTTTAACTTGTAACTGGGAACAACTGCTGTGATGTGACAGATCCTTGTTACCATCAACAAAGGTATGTACTAAGTGTCTGTTTGCACCTATAGACATTTACTGAAAGCAGTTTGACTAATCGAACCTATGTGAAGATGCAGTTTAGGGGGTTCACTAACAGAGGTGAACGTTTTGAACAAAACCACACGCTGATTTCGTAAAGGTGACAGTTTGGGAAAAGACCTTGCGAAAAAAAGAGCGCAATGGTTACTATACAACAATCAGATGAAATCCCAGAATACTACTTTTTTGCCACTTTTCAGAGTGGTTTCAGTGTTCTATATAGTATGTGTAGAATTTAAAGCTATTTGATGACTTGGTTGGATTAGGTGAATTTTAAAATAACTTGCATATATTTTTCACCATACTTTTCACCATATACAGGCAAGATACAGTAACTTCAGTTTTACTATAAGCCTGCTTTTGCTTCTTGCTTTTGTACATTTGTACAATGTAGTAACTGCTGTTTTTCACTGCTTCAAGGTAAATCTAAAGTAAAGCAGTAAAAAAGTAAAATAGTTCATACTTTCATGAAATTTGAAGAGCAGGTTAGGAAAATTTTAAATATCTAGAACTGGCTTTTTACTCCCACTCTGAATTTGTTAGCAACTTTGCACATAGATCAATAAACCAAAATCATAATGAATGAAAAAAACCCCACTCCCAATTATTGAAGCTGGAAACAGATAACACAAAATCAATATTTGCAAGATTATTCCATTCCCACTGGCTTCAAAGGACCTGCAAACATTTTAAATTAATAATTAATTTTGATTTTAATCTGAACAGGTTAACTGTGTAATATTGCTGACTTCCCTATTTTAAATGTGTCTGTGGTGATTTATGCATAAAGAGACTGAACTCAGGAATCAAAAAATCAAATTTACTTTGATGAATTTCATATCCTTCCATTTTCAACACTGCTCCTTGTTTCCATACCAGAGAGTTGTTATATTTGTTACCAGTCCAGACACTGAGTCATTCTTGCTTAAAGCAGACACTAGGCTCTCTGTGTAATTTCTCCCCTTCAGAGTTTTGGACTGAGAGGAGAATTGTAATGCCAGGTGCCTCCGCTAGCTCCATTTCTTAAGGTATTACTGTAAAAACACACAGAGGTGCTAAATGCTGCCAAGTGGCAATGGAAATTCTCTGAGCTCTGGTTATTTCGGATGCAGCTAAGTTAGGGAATACCGCCTGATTCTGACAATGTGTGCAGACTTACAGTTTCTGGTTAGAACGCTTCATCTTCTTCTCTCCAAAAACCTCTCTCTCCTGACATTTTATGATGAGGCACTGATAGTCATATGGCTTATTTCGTAGGAGGTAACCTGGCATTTAAAGGTAAGAACTCTGCAAGTTTGTCTCTAAATTTTATTTTCTTTTTTACTGAGAACTTTTGTGGAACTTTTAACAGAGCTGAAATTCAAGGATTTAGATACTCTTCATATTTTGTGTTAAAAAACCTGTGTGTGATATAGGTTTTAAATGTTGGTGGCACCAGAAACTCGGTTGCTCTTCCTTTTGCAAACAAATAACCCCTGAACACTCTATTACCATATGGCCACTTTGAACAACGCCTGTTCGCAAAAATACCGGTTTGATTCCAAAGCATAAAATTGATTTTATTTTCAAAGGGATTCAGCTTCCTAACTCACTTCTGTTGGTTGTGTAATACAACTTGGCTACCTATGTATAGAAGCTTAGACTCATACACTTCCCTTGCAGTCGTGCTTTAGTAACTTTAGATGTAAGGAAAGTTTGAGAATGTCGTTCGAATTTGTAATTTTTCAGTAATTCTAGTTTTTACCACTAGATGGCTTCCCAGGATAGTGGATCTAGATCCAGGCCTCCTGAATTAACATGCGGGATTGCATTCATTTTGGTGCATTCTTAATGATATATAGTCATAAAAACGAAGTTCTTTCCAGCTCAGCTGTGAAGACAGCAGTGTGGGCTTTGTCATCCTTGAGCATCTTTTGACATCCTCAGAGCTCTGCGTATTAGGTTATTTCTGATAGCTGCCACAGCTACCAACTGTGCATGAACAGCTCTGGGTTCAAACGTGCAGTTAGACCCTCCTCGGAAATGCCTGATCAGTACAACTGAAAACATAACTTACCTGCCTAACGCTCAACAGCGCGAACAGCCCGGCTGGGGGACCCAGCTGCCGAACACTTTGCCCTTCCTCCTGTTACAACATAAAGTGCTATGGAGACCTTGTGCTGCAACTACGTCCTCGTAACTGGAAAAAAAAGCCTTGGAAAAGGGGAGAAAAAAAAAAAACCACCCTTTTTTGTGAGAAAGTAGGTCTCCCTCCTTCACCCGGAGCCTGCCTTGTTTGTTGCCCCGCTACTAAATCAGCAGTTTTCAGCAACGCGAGCGTCTTCCCGCTTGGAAAATCCACGCGTTCTCCTGTTGTCCATAAAAACATCGGTCTAATGGTAACAGATTTTAATGATTATCAGCCTAGGCTGGATTCAGCCTGGCAATCTAGGGCTGAAAGAAGTTTTCCCGTCCACCCCAGCCTATCTTGGGCAAGCAGTTCCCTACAGCAGAGATGGCTCCCTTGAACTCAGCCTTAACCCCGACTGTTCCTGGAACTGCTTTTTCCTGAGCTCAAATCAGACCGCAGCACCTTCTTTCTGGCGTGTGCTCGTTCGGGAGGAGGCAGGGGTTGCCTGGCTCGGTGACAGGGGAGTTCAGTTCCAGCTGCAAGCCCAGGGCGGCAGGCAGCAAGCCCCGGCTCGCAGGCGGCAGCTCGGCAGCCAGCGTCCGCCTCAGCCT